CCCCCCCCCCAGCGAGGGCGCGCGTAGCGGAGCCCCGGGTCCCGGCACAACGACGAATAAAATATGGCGAGATATTGCCCGAGGGAGGGGGGACCTTCCACGGAGGTCTTCAAAGCGCGTATCATGTGGCCGGCACGCGCACCGGCCACCTCCGGCGTGATGGTGCCCGGCCTCTTGCGCGATCGATCGGCGTTCGGGACTTGTCCGTGGGCGGCGGGGCGCGAAGGCCGGCCGAGGCGGGCGGGTGAACAAGGCCCGCAGCGATCGCGCCGGGCGTGGGCTCCCCCCCCCCCCCGCAGAGGCAGCCGCGCGAGGGGCCAGACCGACGGCAGGGGTTCTTCAGGTGCCCTCGCCCGGAGACCGGCCATCCTGGCCCGGGGGCATCCCCCCCCCCCTTTCACCGGTCGCCCTGTCGCTCGATGCCCCCTGCTTTGCTTGTGGCGCTCCCGTTGTTCCCCCCCCCCTTCCCCTCCCCACCCTCGCTCCGCCTTGCCCGGTCACGCCGCCGCTGGTCCTTCGCTCTTCCCGACATCATGAACCCCCCGCCCGCCCTGTCGTACCTCGTGCCGGCGGCCGGCAAGTCGCACTACGGCCTGCCCGGCGAGCCGTTTGAATCGCGGCTGCTCTTTGCGGCGGAGGTGGCGGCCTTCGCGCACCGGGGCCAGACCCGTAAGAACCGCCAGGCCGCGCCGTACATCAACCACCCGCTGAATGTGGCCGGGATCCTGCTGCGCGAGGTGGGCCTCCTGGAGGATGGTGACGCGTCCCGGCGCCCGGCGCATGAGGATGCGATTTTGGCGGGCATCCTGCATGACGTGGGTACGACGCGCGGCCTTGGGCGCGTGGTCCTTTGCCGGTTGGCCGGGCCGGCTCCCCTTCCGGCTCCCCCCCCCCCTTGCCTTCCTCTCGCCCCCCTTGATGCTGACGACACATCGCACAGTCGAGGACACGGACTTCACCCTGGACCACATCCGCCTGTACTTCGGCGATTCGGTGGCGTGCGTCGATGTGCCCGCCTTTTGTGGCCTGGCCCTTGGGTGTGCCGATGCTGACCTGCTTGCTTTCTCTCTTTCTCTCTCCCCGGGTGGCATACGTGCGCGCGCGCGCGCGCGCGCAGCAAGGTGGTCGACGAGGCCACCAGCAACACGGCCCTGTCGAAGTCCGATCGCAAGCTTGACCAAATCACGTCGGGCCCGATGAAGAGCTACCCGGTGCGTCATGTCCGTCTGGCCTGCCTCGGCGGGGCGCCCCCTCTGACCGTGCACTTGTGTGAAACCCACCCACGCGGGGGTGCATGTCCCGTTGGATGTTCTCCTCCTCGTGGCATCGTGCGCCATATATGTGTGAATGTGTGAACATATATACAACGCGTACATACGTACACACACATATACACACCGGCGAACAACGTGCCACATCACACCCGGCATGTCGTCCTCACAGGGGCGCCTGGTGAAGCTGGCCGACAAAGTGAGCAACCTGCGCGATCTGCTGCTGGACCAGCCGCGGACCTGGAGCGCCGAGCGCGTGCTGGCCTACTTCGCCTGGTCGCACGCCGTGTGTGCCGGTACGTGGGGTCGTTTTCTTTGTCCACATTCCGGGGCGCAGGCAAGGAGGGAAGAACGCCCCTCTGTCCCCCCCCCCCCCCCCCCATATGTAGCCCATGCCTGACACGCGTCACTTTGCTGGCCCGCCACCCGGCCGACAGGCATGCGTGGTACGCATCCCCGTCTGGACGCCCTGCTGGATGACATCTGGCAGAGCACCATCACCCTGGAGGGGAGGGAGTTCCGCTGCTTCGACCCGGAGACCGCCGAGCGCCTCCGGAACATCGGCATCTACGGCTTCACCGATGAGGGAGACCGCGCGGCGGCCATGGCCGACCGGGCCCAGGGGAACTGAGCCCACAAGAGGGGCATGCGCCCCTGCCGCGCGAGGCACCCCGACAAATGGACCCCCCCCCCCCCGTTGATGTCGTTGTTGCTGTTGCTGTTGCTGTTGCCCCCGAGGAGGGAGCATGTGTATTGGGTGCTGTGCGCCTTCGGGCGCCTGTGGATAGGCGCACGGCGCAGCCACCGGAGCACAGCGAAACAGCAGGGAGGCGCCGCCGCCGCCCGGATAGGCTACTGATTGGCCGGGGCCGCGTCCTGGGGGGTCGGCTTCCGGCGAAGGAGCGCCGCCAGCGGGCCGGGGAGTTTCTGCGATCGGAGCAGGGAAGAAGAAGCGGAAGAGGGGGAGGAAGGAAATGGCGACACGCAAAGCAGGGAGGGGAAAGTAGGTCCACATGGCGGGTAAGTACGGAGGACAGCAGGGTTGATGGGGCGCGCGCGCGCGCGCGCGCGTAGGGGAGGGAGAAAGAGAGCCCCGACGAGCGGGTCGCTGGCGCACCATGGAGCGGATGCTCTTCAGGCGGATGCCGTCGAGGGCGGCCAGGCGGACCAGAGCCGCATTGGCCACCGGGTCCTGCTGCTGCTGCTGCCGAGGCTGGAGGTCCTTCCACAGGTTGGCCACCGCCTCGGCGGCCGAGATCATGCCCAGCTGCCGGTAGATCTCCACCAGGAAGAGCCAGGCGTCGGCGGCGCCCGGCAGCTGCCCGTGCTCGACCAGCAGGGCGTGCAGGGTGCCTCGGGCGGCTTCGGTGTCGCCGCGGGCCGCCTGGAGCCGGGCCACGCCGGTCCGCGCGGCCAGGACAACGGCCAGGCGCTGGGTGGCATCCGCGAGGCCGGCAGCCAGGGTCAAGAGCTGCTCGGCCAGGTCCACCTCCACGGCGCGGATGGTGTCCTCGGCGATCGTGCCGCTCGGGGCCAGGGAGAAGCTGAGGTGCAGCGGGGCCAGGGGGCGGGGGGGGGGGGGGTCAGGATGGCGGCCGATCGTCGGAATCTGCATGGATGCGGTCGTGGCCGGGGGGCGGGAGAGGGGGGGGGGAGGAAGGAAAAAAAGAGAGGGAGGGCGGAAAGCGAGATGGCCTCCCATCGGGGAATGAGGCCCGGTCCATGGGGCGTACCTGCGGATGTACGCCTCGGTCAAGACCAGCTGGCAGTGGCAGCGCAGGGCGAGGACCTCGTCGGCCGGGAGCTCGGCGTCGGTGGACAGCCGTCCGATGACCGTGGTGGCCAGGGAAATCAGCTGGGCATTGGCCGAGGCCAGGTCCTCCAGGGCGGCGGCGTCCTTGGCCACCACGAAGGCCACCCGCACGCGGGCGTCCTCAGCCACCACAAGCGACGCCCAGGTGAGGGTGTTGCTCGGGGCGAGGCGGAGGCTGAGCCGAGACACAGGGCGCGGGGGAAGAGAGGTAGGTGGGGTTAGGGGCGGGGGAGGATGGGGCCAAGGTGGCCAGATAAGACCGCGACGGGAGGCGGAGAGAAGGAGAGCGAGAGAGGGAGAGAGGGGGAGAGGGAGAGGAAGAGAGAGAACAAGAGAGAGAACAAGAGAGAGAACAAGAGAGAGAACAAGAGAGAGAACAAGAGAGAGAACAAGAGAGAGAACAAGAGAAAGCGAGAGAAAGCGAGAGAACGCGAAAGAAAGCGGGAGGGAGGCGCCGAGCACACACCTGGCCTTGAGCAGGTGCGAGGCGGCATCGATGCTGGCCGACACGTCGGCAAGGGTGGCCCCGGTGGGCGCCGGGGCGCCGGCGGAGGCCACCCCCAGCGCGTGCCGGGCCAGCAGGCGGCCAATGCGCAGGAAGTCCCCGGCGGCCAGGGGGAGGTGCTGCTCGCGGGACAGACGCATGAGCGTGGCCTGCTGGTGGCCGACGATGGTGGTGAGGTTCTTCTTGCGCCGGGGGGTGAGCTTGGTGTCGGAGTCCGAGGAGGCGTCGAGGTCGGTGTCGGGGTGGCGGCCGTCCGATGTGGCGGAGTCGGAGCCCCCGCCACCGGCCAGGTGCAGCCGCGAGGAGGAGGGCAGGGCCAGGGAGATGGACGAGGCCGAGGCCCCGGGGCCGGACCCGGTGGCGCTCAGCTCGGACGACTGTTCCGACGCGCTGACGCTGAACTGGTGCAGCACGCTGGCCGGGGGCTGGTACGTGTCCCGGAGGATGTCGACCACGGTGCGCAGGGGCTTGGCCGGGGTGCGGCCCTCGTGCGACAGGAGGGCCGCCAAATCCAGCGACGACCGCAGGGGGACCAGCTGGCCGGAGGCCTCCCGCCGGAGGAAGGCCTCGACCTCGTCGGGCCCGGCCGCGCGCAGGATCTGCAGGTGGACCTGGTACAGCAGGCCGGAGGGGGGGTGCTGGTCGCCGCCCGGGGCCTCGGCGATCAGGGCATCCAGGTGGGCCCGCGCGCCGCCGATGTCGCCGGTTTCGAAGAGCATGGCTGTCAGGGTCAGCCGGGCCAGGTGCCACACGGCCAGCAGGGCCACGCGCTGGTCGTCGGCCATCTGGCCCTGGCGGCTGGCGGCCAGGGCCTGCTCGATGAGAGACAGATTGTCCAGCGGGGCCGTCGGGGCCGCCGGGTTCATGGCATACATGACCATGGACAGGGCGATCATGGCGTCGGAGCTCTGGATGAAGGCCTCGTTCGGGTGGGATCTGGATGGGCGGCGGGGTGCCAAGGGTTAGCGGGGGGG